AACAGGAGTGGACACCATCGATTGCGCTTCTGTTTGGTTGCGCTCTGAAATCCAACTCTACACACTTCCAAAATCCGCGCCCTTCGCCTATTTTATTATGAAGTCTACTTAGTGCTGGCATTTTACAAACCAGTTTCCTTAATGACTGGAGGCAGGGTGCATTCACCCCTCTAAATAAAAAAAACATCCGGACGGTTAACGGCTAATTATCGTCTTATCAGCCTCATCAGCGCATTACGTGACGTACTGAAGAAAGAAGTCCTACATGTGCTTAGTTTTTTGCAGGTGAATCACAGTAAAATGCCATACCAAACACGAAACAGAGTTTCTACCTACGGGGAGTTTGATTGAATATGTAAAGGAAGTAAAAAAAGGGACCTCGGGGTGAACGCGCAAAAACCACATCCCCCAATAAGTAGGACAGTGACACACTTAAAATGCGTCTATGTGCAGAGTGACGTAATGAAGTCATCCTACGAATCGAATGGGCTTCTGACATAATTTCGAATTCAGTTGGTTTGACGCGACCTCAACAAACGCCTGTGAGTCGTTGCGAAAGCACGCGAACAACAACCCTATTTGTTTGTATTGGCCAGGGACCACAAGCAAGGTCTAAGAATATTTTATGAGACGTTTGCTTAGAAACAACTAGAATGTTGCTTACCGGCATGGTCTTTATATCTAGATTTAGACACGAATGTTAAGCTTACTCGCTCTATTCGGGATGTACGCTTCGAGGAACAACTGCGGCGTTAAGCATCATGCCCTGTAACAAAGGTGGATTGCGAGCTATGTTTCCGACATAGCCATACGCCCCATCTCACAGGGCTCTCCTGAAGGTTGCTCAGGTCGCAAATGAGCGTGCGCGCTACCAACTACCGGAATTATGCATTCTGCGGAAATTGTCCTAATTTTTAATGGAAATAAAGATGCAGTGTTCAGGCGGTAGGAACTTTCATATGCATGTGTGGCGCAGTGGCGCATCAAGCACTGTTCCCTTACTTTGCAGATGCGTGCGCAGTATACTTTTAACTAGAAGAAATCAGTGTCGGTTATTGGGTGCTACTTGCGGACATTGCGCGCATACCGGTGGTTGGAGACACTGTTCCCCGGTCGTCCTGCAACATTATTCTCCGGTCCAAGGGCTTTTCCTCTTGTCGTTACGGCTGCTATATTTCCTACTCCTAAACAAATGGCGCCGACATTTTTTGAGAATCCTGCTGAACATTGAACTTGTGTCCTTGAGTCTTATTACCGCCCAGCTTCTTGAGAAATGATGGCAAGAGGTTAAGGATATTGGTAACTACTGGATGCCACGTAAGAGGTTGGCTAGATCTGGCGATATATGTCAGGATATTCATGAAGGATAAACGTTAGCAAATAAACATAACACAGCACACAAGCAGAAGCCGTTTGCTTAAATATAAATTCATTTCACAGTGTAGACATGCATAGAGACTGGGATGATCGGGGACGTTTCCTAAATGTGAACAAGTGAGCAACACGGTTGATTCTCATATTCCACGCGCCTTTGAATTGGCGGGTTCAAATTGGTACATAAAATCACATGTTTGGAGTTTTCAAGGTTAGCAGACGTACAAGGATTGAAATGTTGTGAAATTTAGCCAGTTTGCAAACAAATTTAGATCTTATTCTGAGAAAGCTTTTACAGGGGTCGAAAAAAGTCGATGTTTATGAGTAACTGATAGAGATCTAGATAGGAAGAAATAAAAAGCGGAAATCGAATTAGAATTTTCCGGAAACGAAATGACTAAATTTGGCGTCAGCATTTGTAAACCCTGATTCATATGAGGTTTCTAAATCAAATAAATCCAGCTTATTTTTCATTCATAGTCTGGAATTGAAAGTAAGGATATGCAACCGTCAGAGCTGCAGTCATCAGTAACGAAAATGGTCAATAACCGCACTACCAGTTTTCATTGAAACGATCAGCTAAACAAAGGGATAACGGACAGGCGAAAGAATGAGTGCAATAATTAGAATTTGAGGGATGCAGTAGGAAAAATACAGGTATGACATGGTTAACTGTCAAACAAATCAGTTTGATGTGCAGTGATGGTAAGTACAGGATGAGAGTGCGACTGCTGACCTGATGGTGGCTGCGACGCTTTTAGTTTTGGTGACGCTGGTGGTGGTAGAGGTTTTAGTGTTGGCGGTGATAATGGCTGCTTCGACTGATCTAAATGGGCAGATGTGAATGGCGATCAAATTAATTATCCTGCCGAGAATATGCATTTGTCCTTAAGGCCCGTGCGGTGTAGGCGTGTTTTGAGACATTGTAAGTCAGCGAGTTGAGAGCATATATTCGCTGGCCTCCGTAAAATGGATTGGAAGGTATAGTCGTCCTGTTCGTTGCCAGGACGTGCTCGATAGTCGGCATGGAAAGCCGGAATATTGAGTGAAACTGGGATGTCTAATGCTCTATTAACTGCCAGGGAGATCAAGAAGCTTGCAAACACTAGTAAAAAAAACTATACATAAGTTGAGAGAAGACGGAGCCCTCACTGGAAGGGAAGCACTGGCCGCAAAACCCACTGATATCATAATGGCAAGCTTCTACGGTCTGCCAAAGGCGCACAAACCGGGAGGGTCCCTACGTCTCATCGCCTCATTTCTTTGTACTGCAACATCTGGTCTGTCAAAGTGACTTTGCCAGAGGCTTTGTTTACTTACTTAAGATTCAGAGGGACAGTGATGTCAGTGCAAAAGTTTTTTACGGGCATCTGACAACTAGAAAAGGAGGTTGGCAAGATGGAGGTGTCGTCTGACGTGATATATATACTCACATGTGTGCCACTTGAATTGACTGTTGGCACTACTGACGGTCTTTGCCGGAAGTATATGGTGAGAATGACCAAAGGCACCAAGAAGTGCTCGACAAGCAGCTCTCAGAACTGTGCCTTAAGACATATTTCACACTAAACGGCCAGATTTACGAGCAAAATAAGGGGACACAGACTGACTTGCCTCTGCCTGGGCTGATTGGCGAAACGGTTTTCAGATGTTCGAACGACGCAGACGGTCCACGATCGGGTTCTTTCATATTGGACATGAGTACTTCATCAAATCATGGTTTGTTCATGTACGCCTTGTCACCGGTCATTTTCTGCCACTACAGACAGAGTATTTATTAAATCAGAAATCAAGGCACAGCAGTTCATTTGCTTTCTGAGGCAAGTAAGCTCCCCACGGCGCACACAGAGTGTGCATCAGCATTTATCGCGTAGAAGTCTCCTGTTTCCAACCTAACTGTTCATTCATATTTCTGGCTGTCCGCAAAAAGTCATGTCTTTAGCACTTAATTCCAAGTCCTACCCCAATAATTTTCGAAAATGCTGGGAGCGACTCCGACTTGCTCAGTTAAATTCGACGCATAAGGGATAACGATTTCCAGGCAGCATAAATGTCTTAGAGAGGATTTTGCTTTATTGACTTTGGACATACGTGCTCATAAAGGGGTTAATAATTTCGAGGAAAAAGTTATTTGACTAGATTTGTGGTCTGATTCTCGAGGTGAAGAGTGCTGGAATCTTGGATCACCGGGCGTCGTCCTGTCTATGGTAAAGCAAACTACGGCCCATTGTAACTTAAGACCAGTCAGATTTTATTATTTACCAGGTTAAGGGTATTAAAATACCTATTATAGTCTGGCCTAGTACACAGAAAATCTCGCGAAGCTTCGAGAAGAATATTACAGACGGACCGATAGATTTCTCGAACACACGGACCAATCGAGTTCGAGAGTGCAGCCAATAGCGAGGCGTTATAATCATGCTGACAGCGTGCTAGAGAAGGCTTATGTGACCTCCAGTGATTGGCTGGCTCTTGCTCTTTGGAGCGTAGAAACTCCGAACTCCTCCCCTCTAAGTAGGTGAGTATCGCTTCTGGCGTGGATTGATTTGTATTATCAGTGTTGATCGCGCATGCAGTTTGTCGGACGTCTTAGTTGTGGTTTGTTGTCCGGCAATGCGGGAGCAGTGACTGATACAAAAGGTGATACTCCCGAAGGGTTTCAGAAGTGGGTTCGGGAACCGGCCGATCTGTCGGAGCGGCGAGACTGTCCAACAAGGTGCCGAGAAGGGATGAAAACACTGATAAGGGTCCGGTTGCGTTATTGGAATGCCGTCGTCGATTCTGGTGTCGTGGCGACAAACCAAGATGCCGTCACCATATTTAACTGCTTCTGTGCATTGTTACAGTCGCCTCAATCCAGTTTGGAAATCCAGTTCGTTAATCACGAATGAAGACAGGTGTTCCGACGGGATGTTTGCTGCGAAAGACAGGTGGAGTCTGTGCGAGCTGCACACAGAAAGGGACAAATGCACAAAACGTTATACGTAGTTTTCGACCCATCAAAACTTCGGCAGGATAAATGCCGCCAGGAGAGGCCGGATTCAGAGTTGTCCTGCAGGAAATCACAAACGCCTGTTATATCTCGTCCTCGGTCCCCTCCCACAAGCCTCCAATAGGGCTGTCTTAAATGTCTCGACAACACGCTTCGCCTGACCGTTAGACTGAGAGTAGTGGGGCGGGGTGTGAATCTGCTGGATGTTGTGTTGGCGACAAAAATTCCCAAACGTCGATGAAACAAACTGGGAACTTTTATCCGAAACTAGCCCTTCCGCTAAGCTATGCTGGCTAAAGATGCGTCGCAGAAAAGCGATAGTGGCAGATGCGGTCTCTGGATTCGGCGGAGCAATCTCTGGCCAAGTCGAGTAGGTGGCAACAAACATTAGGTATGAGACTCCGTTAAGTGGACCAACGAGATTGCTATGCACGCGTGACCAAGGTCTCTCCTTTGGCTGCTAGGATGTTGGTGTGCGAGGCCGCATATTGGCAGTTTGTGGGCATCAGGAAGAGCGTCTTACCAGGTCGTCGATGTCGGTGTCGATACCCTGCCAGTAAGCAAAACCGCGAGCAATTACCAATATTCTGCTTACACCAGGATGTGTCTCATGAAACTGGCGTAGTGCAGCAGGTCAAAATGAAGATGGGCTCATCACACAGTTCCCAAACATGAGGCAGGGACCAACCACAGATAGCAATGCTCGGCGAAGGAAGAACTGTTGGAGGTTGCTAGTGAGAACAGTGGTTGGCCAGCAGGTCTGCATGTAGGTGATGGCCTGACGGAATACAGGATCCTGTTCAGTAGCATGTCGGATATCCGGTATAGAGTCTGAAAGTTGACGGAGCACATCGTCCTCAATCGAAATGACGACAATCGCGGTGTCCTCCTCAGGCTCCTCATGACTGCAGATGAGACGAAAATGGGCGTCAGCCTGGCTAAAGTTGATAGTGCAGCGGTAGCAAATTTCGAAATCGTAACCAAGAAGAATATTTGCTCATCGCCAAAGTCGACTGGCTGAACTGACAGGAATGCCCGTATCCGAAACTAGCATTAACAGAAACGGCTTATAATCCGTCAGCAGCGTGAAGTGACGATCGCACAGCAGCTTGTGGAGCGTCTTGATGGCAAACACGAGAGCCAGTGCTTCTTCCTCCATTTGTTCGTAGTTCTTCTCTGAAACAGTTAGCGTGCGAGATGCATGCATGATCGCCTTTGCAGACCCATCAGGAAAAGCATGTGAGATGACCGCACGAACTCCGTTGTTGGAAGCATCTACAGCAACAACGATCGGCAGCGTCAGGTCGTAATGTGTGAGCAGCAGATTTGAACTCAGCATCGACTTTAGCTGGGCAAAGGCCTTTTCGCAGTCGGAGAACCAGCACAAGAGAGCATCCATGGCCCGTACGTCATGCAGCGATGGTAGGAAGGCGCTATATTAGCTGATCAGACCAAGGAACGAACGAAATTGCAATACATTCTTGGGTGCAGGCATCCGTTGGATGGCCCGAGTGTTTTCGGGATCTGGATGGCGGTCGGTGACGTCAAAAACGAATGCAAAGTACTTGATGGATTCGAGGAAGAATTGGCACTTGTCGTTTCGCAGGAGGAAGCCATATTCCAGCACGCGTTCGAGCCCTGCGCACACTCGGTCTTGCATCTCAGCAGAGGAACGATCCACGATGATGATGTTGTCCAGGTACCCAGCTGTACCAGGGATGCCGGAGAACATTGTGTTCATCGTTTGTTAGACTAGGGCCGGGGCGGTCTTGACACCAAAGGGCAGCCTGGTATATTGGAACAGACCGCGGTGGATGTTCATGGTCAACAATTCGCGCGATTCTGGGGCGACCTCGATCTGCAACGAGATCCAACTTGGCAAACCAAGTGCCACCATTCATCAGGGTGAACTGATCAGCCGGAACTGGCAATGGACAGCAGTTCGGCGTTAGCGCGGCAATAAGACCGGTGGAGGAGCCAGCACAAATGTGGATCGAATCATTGGGCTTCTTAGCCACAACGATTGGAGAGGCCCAATCGGAGTAGGATACAGAATCAAGAACTCCCAGTTCCTCCAGACGCTTCAGTTCAGCCTCGACAAGTGGTAAGGCTGCATATGGCGCGGGTCGCTTTGGAAGGAAGACTGCTTGACTTCCAGGCGACAGATGCAACCGAGCTTGAGTGTATGCACAACGACCCAGGTCGTCTTGGAACACTGGAGCAAACCGTTGACGAATGTCCTTGGTTTGGTCTGCAAGCACAGCGGGAATCTGCACCTGACTGCAAACAACGCGGAGCGGCATACCGGCCAAACTACTGTATTCAATCCATTTGAGACCAATCAGGTCGAGGTCTGACTTGGTGACGTAGCAGATCGCAGTGATGCTGGTATCGCGAAACGACACATAACATTGCAGTTGCTCCATTAGCTGCGCAAGACCAACGCATGCGTTTGTGGCGGACTGAGAAACCTGCTGCATCGCCGGACTACCAAGGGACTGCCAGAGTCTCTCTGAGATTATGATGATGTCTGAGGCAGTGTCCAACCGTAGGCAGACTGAGTGGCCATTGAATAGAACGTTGGCAAACTTTCTACGATCAGCCGCATTTAGCTGGAAAGTGGCCAGGAGACTGAAAGAATTTCCAACGGACTAGGCTTTGGACAAGCGTTTTGACTGGAAACGGTGATTAAAATTAGAAGTTCCGTGGGCAGGCTTGCCTCCAGTAGCCGCTGTTGATTTGCAGAACCTATCAGTGTCCCACCTGGTTACAGCTTTGGCAGCGATGTGGGCGTAATGTGCAATCCCGATGGACATGCCACGTGCCACAGTGCCAAAAGGGGAGATGGCGGCGATCTCGCCTTGGACACTTGCTTGGGTCGCGTAAAAGGATTCGATTCGGTCGTTGTGACCATATGGACTGAGCAAGATGTGGCAGGGCTCTGGATCATAGCGTTCGGCACTCTGCCGCCGGCTCTTAGAGCGTAATCAAGTTTTTCTGTTGCACTTTGGACAGGAGACGTGCCCAGATGTTGGCATTTTTTGGGGACTGGAGGTCTCGAACAAATATGAGGCATTGAAACTGATATTAAGTGAAAGAATCGAGTTGACAACGCCCACATTCACGATTGACGGTGCTCGCATATGTGACAAAATCGTTGGAATCCCGTTTGCACAGTTGTAAGCATTGAAATCGAGTGTTGAACAGAGACGACTGCTCGCCGAAGATCTGCGATGACGTCTTCACCGTGTTTGTGAAAGTGACTTCTTGGGGGTTTTTAGGGAGGGTGAAGTTTGCATAACGCTCGTTTTGCAGCCGAGCTCAGTTTGCACAGTGGGAGTGACACCTTCCATGCATCGTCATGGGCAGGCCAGATAGACAGGGGAATAAAGTGTGATGTGGGCCTGCAGGCTATACAGGAACTCAGTAATGTTGCCGGTAATGTGATCGACAGAATTATTACCGTTTCTCAAAGTACTGCTCAGTCGTACTAAAGTATCAAGAACAAATCTCAAATACGCGTTAGGACGACCGAAGATCGCTCCGTCCATTGATTGGTCTCGGGCACATACGCAAGTATATCATCTGAAACAAATTATATGGAAAAAGGGCTTTAATATGAGTTTTTTGCAGTCCCCCTACTCATCGTTCCTCACTACTGCGGCGACAATGAACCGATTTGGTTGACCCACCGCTTAAATAATTTTCTCTTCGAGTTGCAGTCCTCGGCCATTTCTCGGACCATTTTCCTCTCCACTCCCTAGTTGCCCGTGCACAGTCGAAGGCAAATTCGTAGCATATTTGATGATGCTTGTGAAAACTTGTGGACGTACCTCCTACAGTCAGACTGCCGAGTCCTGCATATGAGTCCATGCCTAGAACCGGTTATCAGCTCTGCCAAACCGATGGATTACCGGGTACGAGAATTACTGCAGCAGATACTTGCGGACATGTCTGCGTACGACAACCAACCCGAGCCTGCAGGAGAAATCAACCGATCGTCGTCTAGGGACGGTGCCAGAGACCCAAGTCGAACAGCCTAACATACGCTTTGTTGGCCCTGCAACATGGGTAATTTAAGTTAAGGGTTTGAAGAAAAACCGTCCGTGAGATAGTTACGAACAGAAATGTTAACGCCAAACAAGCTTTTTGGGGAGTCGTCTTGGCAGCAGCTCGCGATACCGTCACTCAGCAAGGAAGTACGACCAACAGGCGAAAAGCGAAAGACCCATGTCAAGACACGTTATCCATTCCATGATTTGACACAGATATATGTACCCCCTGAATTATGCTGCGAGACCACTTGTCATATTTGCATAGGATGTCTATTTTAATGCTAAGAAGAGGACTTTGTATGAAAACTGTTCATCCAGGTACGCAAATCCGTGCACTACCTATTCCACTTATGATTGGTGATGCGACACAGTGCAAAAGCGCGACGTTTAATAAATGCAATATTTTTCGCAACCCACGCACGAATATCACACTGAGATCTTCGACGGCTAGCAGATCGACTGACGAGGAATCGGGGCGTGGCCTTCGCGGTTTTCTGTCCCATTGTTTCTCCCTTTGAGGTTATTTGGGCTACAGGGTTTAACTGGGTTGGCTTAAAAGAACGGAACAATTAAAGCGAGCTATCGTCTGTTAGCGCGGTTTACTTAGTGCAAACAGTTTGTGTCGCGTTCACCAATCTGCCTCTAATAGGACGCTGTTGAAAATGTACTAATGACGCCAGCAATAAGACCGGACGCACGCACGCCCGTGGCGTTCTAACGCCTGAAACTTAGCAATGTGCCATGCTAGAGCTCATCTGTGTTGGTCAAAATGCACTATTTGCCGTACAAGATCAGACATATATAACAGCCGATTATGGAGAACCACAGTCTTCGTATGCGAAAGTTGTTTCGTAACCCTGGGTTAGGAGTTAAAGACGTTGAAATGATCACCTTAGCATGCTGAGTGTTGGGGCTCTGGAGCTTTCTGGTTTAAGGGCCTTCGGGAAGCGGCAGAATCTTACAATGTTGATCCTCTTCTGTATCATCTTTTGCCTGCTTCTCTTTTATCATGCTTATAAAAACTTTGTTAGGCCCTTGTTAGTAGTGTTACGTACCGTCCTTACCATGTCATCTTTACGAGCTGTCATTGCACAAGTGAGGAACCTGATAAGTTCTATGGGTAATTGGCTATATACCTACTGTTTCCTATGAATACCACGGCGCTTGTTGCGCCTATTTTCTTTATTTATTCTCGTATTTTGTGATGGTTTGGACTATTAATCTGAAATATAAGGCAAACAAAATTTGTGCTCAGGCGGTACAGTCACCTCCTCCTCAACTGCTTCGTGGAGCTTGGCTTTTCGCTTTTACCGGTTTCAGGTTTCCTGTCATCGCCTTCGGAACCTTCTTCACTTAGGGGATCGCAAAAAAGGATTCGTCGTTCTCATCTTTCCACCGCACACTGACTGACTTCTCCTGGCGTTTCGGTTAACCACTGGCTTAGAATGGAGAACGCAAGTTTTGCATCCTCTTCTTTCTGGTATTTTTCCGAGACATTATTGCTGAAACTGTCGGAAAATTTGTTGACCTCAGCTTCTACCGTGAACGGGATTTTTTAGTGCACTTCATTCCTTTTGAGCATTACGAATGTGTCCTCGACGCACATGGCCCAAGATTTTGAGCTGCGTGAATCTGAATGTTGCTCAAGGAGAACTTCCGCGGCGTTGGGTTCGCAACGGAGGTAGAATGGGAACGGTAGCTGTCCCTGTTTGAAGTCCCATAGAAGGCCTTGTGATGCAATTCTGCATGGAGGTTAGCATAGCGGCATAGATCATAAGCCACCACAAAGGTCATCCGAAGACACAAAAATGCATCTGTTTTGAACATACTTTCGAAGAGTCAAAATGCCCTGGGTCTGATCTTATTTTTGTAGTCGTACCTGCAATAGGCAAGCCCCAGCCTAGCCCCTAACCCCAACCTCTAACCTTAACCGCAACCCCCAAACTCTAACTCCTTACCCCTAACCCTAAACCCTAACAGGTACGGCTACGAAATAGGATTTTGCTATTCACTGTAACAGCTCCGAGGAAGTTGAGCTGGAATGGCGGTTTCTGTGCGACCAATGCCTAAGAAACGTCTACCCTGGAATCCTCATAAAGCGTTGTTTCCGGACTTATCATGTGAGAGAAAATAGGAAAGGCTCATCGAAAGCCTATCCTTGTTAATGTGAGTTCGGAATATCTCCCACGTCACAGAGCCGCTTGCTACAGAGATTAGCCCTAGCATAGCCCACCGTCCACATGCTACTCTACCTACAATACACAAGGATCGAGGACTAACGGAGCACATACGACTAATTTGGTATTTTTAAATCGGATATAATGCTGACATCGTTTTTTATTTTCCCCTACAACAGTAAGAAGACTGAACTCAAAACATGCTAACGCAAGTGGTTCTCGCTACGGAGACCAGTGACATTCGTTAAAATCCGCACCTTGGGAGTAGGCAGTGAGTTTAACTTTGCTTACAAAGATAGGTCCGCGGATGGCCGATAACCCATCAGGCGCTGTGCTCAGGCGCGATGAAATGCCCAACCAAGGCTTACAGAGCCACCTAACCATGAAACTATGCCGTCGAACAACGTAACTTCGGAACCCACCTACAGAGATACCACATTGCTGCCCATTCGTTGCTGTTTTTCCCAGTCCCTGAAAACTGGCTCATGTCCGGATATGAAAGCTCGGATTAATACATTAACTGTCCCGTAGTTTGCCTTACCTTATATCTGTAGAAACAAGAATCTCAGGAAACATACAGTGAGTGACCGATCTCATGAAATGTTGGTCGAAATTTTGAAATGTGTTTTCGATTAGGAAGGATTACTTAGGCGCGGCTGTAATACTGATTATATTGTGGCATAATCTTATAACATTTCAAACTCGTCAGGATGTCAGCTCTGGAATGTACT